GTTATGCTATTACTAAAATCAACCCATTCCATAGTACTCAATTCATCTAGCCTATTATCAATTACTTCAAAGTGATCTAAAACAGCTCATCAAATCTATGTAAGTTCTACTGAAGTCTAACTCTTAACTAGAAATGCCAACCTCCACACAAAAACCTGCGAACTGTGGTCTTTTTTTTGCATACACCAGGAGATGTATTGTTGCCGCAAACAGGTACCCCCCAAGTTAGGCTAGGGTTTCTCTAAGCACAGCTGGTTCAGGGCAGCTTGTCCTCCATAGTTCTCAGGGCCGAAACATTTCTTTCCTAACTATACTTTAACAATTTTACTTCTTTTGTGATAGTTCATGCGTAAGAACAGTAGGCCAATTGTCACCTGGGTCCGAATTAGGTTTTCACATGCCAGTTAATAACTAACTTACTTCAGCATTAACCAAGAACAAAAAAGGAGAGCATTAGCAGGCGTTGCCGGGAGACTCCCTAGTTCAGATCTTCTTTGGGAAGTGCAAGAACTCCCCTCTTCTGGAAGTACAACTTCCCTCTTCGGGGGAGCACAGGAACGGCTTCTCAGGAATCTCCCCCAATGCCCTGACCACGTCAAGAGACAGCATGGGAGGCGCAGCCTGTCGCACGCACTCGGCCAAGCGTGGGGTACTGCGTGGCGTGGCCCAAGTATGGAGGAGTGCAGTGAAGAAGACGGGGGTGTACAGCACAGTGTGGAAGAGCGCGATGGAGAGCGGCAGAGTGCGACGAACTGAGGACTCCATGAAGACACCAACAGGGCTGCTAGAACCAGTAAGGAACTTACCCGGCATGGGATGGTTTCGCTACAACGTCCCTCAGCATCGATGCCTGACTCAGGCCTGCCCTCCTCGAGGGTGAGGAGAGATGGGTCATCGGCGCCCCGACCCAAGTGTACAAGTGTAGACTTGGTAGATTCAGGGTCTTAGGAGAAGAACTACAGGTAGCTCGGAATGCGAGGGCCATTCTTAGGCCTCACTGATCCACCCGGCTGTCACCCACAGGGCTCACATCCGTCCCCTGGTGTGCTGGGTGTGGGTTGGCCCTGTGGTCCATCCCTGAGAAGCTCTGGTTTGCCGCTATGGAGATTTTAGTGGGGGAGGTGAAAAATACTGGGGGTGTGACTTTTTAGCCTGGCGGTGGAGGGCTTCCCAGAGGTGAGTGTCCTTTAAGTGTCAAGGCTAACATTTTTAGAGAATCCAGGGCAGGCGCTCAGAATCCCGGGACTGCCTCTCAGGGTGTGAAACTGAAAGAATGCACCCCACTCTCTCAGGGGTGGCAGGGTCACAATTAGATGATAATCAGTAATCTATAGGTGAATGATTTTCTGCTTGGCTGACTCCTACAACAAAGGACGATTAAGAAGAATTCTTTTCTGGGCCACCCTGGTAGTGCAGGGGTTAGACACAGTGCTATCTAACCTATCAGCAGCCCCTGTGGCACGAGTTTGATCCCTGGCCAGGAGCTGGCCCACGTGGCACGGCAGACCTCTCCTGTCTCGCTCGCCGCTGCTCCCCTCAGCAGTGTATTTTGTCACTCTGCCTGTCTGTTCCCGCTCTGTCTCTGGTGGAATCCTCTCATCCTCCTGCGCATCTGGCCTGTACCCAGTTCTTACATAAATAAATAAATATTTTAAAAAAATAAAGTGGGAGCCATGGGTGACCTGCAGGGGTTCTCTGTTGTCTTTTCTTTCTTTTTTTCACTGAAATTGTAGGAAATCACACTCAACCAAAGTGTGATTCAACCATCTTTGAAGATGGCCAGGAAATTAAGGGGCAGGCTGGGAGAGGGGAAAGGATGAGGTAGTGGAGACAAGGTGTCGGCTGGCAGCAGGTGGAGGGCATCCGGATCAGGGGGGCCTGCTGGAGCCCTGCCTCACTGTGGGCGAGTCACCAGGGAATGGGGAGAGTGACAGGATCTCCTGATGAAGCCAGAGTCTGGTTCAAAACCAGAATTCTCTCTTTGTTTTAATTTTTCCAGATGAATCTGCAAACCCATCAGAGGGAAGATGAGCAGTCACTTTCCAAACATTTGTTTTACAATTTCCTCCCAGTGTGGGGTCAGCAGTGGTACCTGCCAGGGAGCAGCCCAGGTTATGGCCTCAGGCCTGCCAGGCCCACGCGTCCACTCCAAAAAAGGAGTGTGGGGGATTCGGGCCTTCTTTTTTTCTTCTTCCTTTCTGGGCCTTTTGTGTTTCCTCAGCTCCTGCTGCTGCCCCAACCTTCACTGGAGCAGAGAGAACACAGCTGCCACTTTGGCCTGGAAGACCCTTTGAGCCTCAGACTGGGGAGTGCAGTTTCTCTGTGCTCCACATGAGGGAGCTCTGCCCAGATGGGCTGGAGGGTCGTCTCACAGACACTGCTGTTGCCCCCACTCGGAAACTTCCTTAGATCAGAAAGTCAGTATTATTCTTCAGTTCTTCAGACTGAATTTTTTTCTTGTTTTTGTTTAGAGAAAGAAAAAAGTTTATTGAGGAGAAAAAGAGCAGAAATAAAATGGGACTCCCAGGCCAGGGAACCAGGCCAGGGAGCGGCAAGGAAGCTCCAGACTGAATTTTTTTAACTTTTTGCAAGGGCAAATCGATCCTCAAGGAACAAGATTTGGCCTGACTGTCTATAAGCCAAGGACAACGTCACAACTCGGGTTTGAAGCCAGTGTAAGCCAGGCACTGTCCTGAATGCCCACAACTCACTCTTCATTATACCTGCTCCTTCTATAAATATTTGATTACATGTCTGTATAAAGTACCTAAGAAAGATTCAATGCTATTAAAATGTGAAGGATTATCTTCAAAGAGAAAGGGCCTGATACTAAATTTTAGTGAAAATTTTTGTTTTTAAAATTTTTATTAAGTTAATTTATATTTAAAAGAATTTATTTTTATAACATACAAGAACTGGGGTACAACCAGAGGTGTGAGGGGGGGGTGAGAGGATTCACCAGAGAAAGAGTGGGGAACAGAACAGGCAGACTGACTAAAATACATGCTGAGGGGAGCAGCAGCAGGCGAGCCAGGAGAGGTCTGCTGTGCCATGGGGGGTGGTCTTCCCTGGATGGTGATGGAACTTGTCTGCAGTGGCTGCTGATAGCTTCATAGGTTGCGTCTTAAGCCGTGTGCCACCAGGGAGGCCCAACGTTTTGATTTTTAAACACCTGTCTGAGCTTCATATTTTCCACCAAAAATTGTCTCTCCCTCACTCCACTCTCCCCATGAAATCCAGATTTACATTAAGAGATAAAATACCACATTTCACATAAAGTGTAAGTCACCAAGTTATCACCCCCTGGAGATATCACTGTCAAAACCTTGTGAATATTCTTCCATATTTTCTCATTAAAATATGTACTATGGGCCTCCCTGGTGGCTCAAGGGGTTGAGTCTCAGCACTATGAAACTATTGGAAGCGACTGCAGCATGAGATCTATCCCGGGCCAGAGAGCTAGCCCCCATGGCCCAGCAGACCTCTCTTGTCTTGCCTGCTGCTCCCTTCAGCAGTGTTATTCAGTAGAGTTGCCTGTTCTCTCCTCACTCTGTCTCTGTTTCGAATCCTGTCACTCCCTCCCTGCACCTCTGGCCTACACTCCAGCTCTTCTGTGCATAAATAAATAAATCTTTAAAAAATACATATTGTATAAGTGGCATTATAACTGCACATCAAGTGTTCTTTAGCTCCTGGTAAAGCTTAAAAGAATGGTCATATCTTTCATAGCAATACGGTAACTGTAACAGGGTGGGTCCCCAGGAAAGGGGGAGGTTCCAGGTTTTCTGCCCCACCCAAGGGAGGGGTCGACCTGAGCAGGGAGAGAAGAAGCTGCCGAGGACACTGAGGAAGGAACAGGATGGAGCCAGAAGGAGACCTGGAGGAGGCACATGGAGCCTAGAGACATGTGAAGAAACTGCGCTTGTCTTTTGGTCGTGGACTGGGTGACACAGATGTGGGTGAGACCCATGGGGAGGTGACAATGGCAGCTTTTATCTTGATTTTGATTTTGCTCTTTTTCTTCTGGCCTTGTCTGGTTGTTTCTGACCCTTTTCTGTGGGCCCCCACTGGAAGATGCTTAAGACTGTGGCAGGCTTTGGTGTCTTGCTCTGGGCAAATCCCATTTGGATGGACTTTTACCCATGAGGGGACGGGTAACTTTGGGTGTGCTTGATTTAGAAAGTATATTCTTGCCTTTCCTATATTGTTTCCTAATCGTATTAAAGTTCCTTCCCATTAAAGTCTCATATGTTTTGTGTTGATGCGGCAGATGGCAGAACCTATTCAGAGCAGGCAGGTTAGGGGGGTTTGGGGTGCCCTCTCCCTGCCCTGTAACAAAATTAATGTCTCATTGATGGTAATTAAATACATATTAAAAAACCACAGATTTATGAATAAGTAACATTTACTTCCCCTTTATAGTTTCCCTTCCCTTTCTCCTTTCCTCAACACTCCCTCCCCTGCCCTCCCGTCCGCGCTCCCCTCCCCGCCTCCCCCCTGCACGCGCGAGCCCGCGGCAGCTCAGGTGCGCTCACCTGGACGGTCAGGCGGGGACACGGGCCCGCGCTCGCCCCGCCGCTTTGCCCGCGGGGAAGCAGCCGCCGCCCCAGCTCGGGGAGGCCCAGTCTGTGGGGGGCCACCCCGGGTCTCGTCACGTTCCTCCCCGAAGGGGGGGAGCCCCGGTGGGTTCCCCGGATCTGCCCGTCGCTGTCCCTTCCAGGGGCAGCCCGGGCGGCGGGGGTCCGGGAAGGGTTTTCAGGGGCACGTGGGCAGCGAGAACCGTTCCTCGTGCGGGCCCCGGAATCTGCCTGAAAGAGGCGCCCCCAGGACCCCCCTCCAGGCCCCAGGACCCCGGCCCGGGCTGCGCAGTAGCGACTGCGGGAGGGACAGCCCCGCGGTTTGCGGACCAGACACCCGAGGGCCGCGCGCCCCTCCCCGCCCGGCTCCAAGCGCCCCCCCTCTGCTTTTCGGTCAAAAAATAATTATTTCATTCTGCCAGGGTTGGGGGCAGGGCGATCTCCAGGTCTCAATGCAACCTGGACTCTTCGCCCACGCATCCAAACCCCGCCCCGGATGCAATAGGTTTCCTGTGCAGTTGGGTCTCTCTGCTTTTTAAAATCGTTATTGTCCTGGCTGCGACAAGCTCTTCACTGAGAGAAAAAGCCCCCAAGCTTGTGACTCCAGGAGCGAGCCCAGAGGTGAGTGAAGGAGAAAAAGGCTTCTGGGGGCAGCCCAGAGGGGACTGGGGTGGAGGGGTGGGGGAGGAGGGGGAAGCGTTTGTAGGACAGAAAACCTCTGAGGCCTCGAGGGGAGGGGAGCCACTGCTAGATCCCGGGGCTTTCAGATGAAACAAATATGGCGCCTCTCATAATTTTAACTAAATCCCTGGCTTCCAAAAAACAGACAAACAAACGGGAAACTCCAAATATCAGGTACGAAGTAAAAAATACCAAATGTTTCCCAATTCCCACACAACCGGGCCTAACACACCAAAGAGCGCTCCAAATTGAGGGAGACTCATAGACTCCCTCCCAAATGAGGAGAACTGAACTCCCTCCGCGAGGGGACTCAGATTCCTCCTGATACCGGAATTGTCAGGCCTAGTCTCCCAGCCAGGAACAGATCCGGGCTGCAGGGGCAGCGCTGAGCCCCAGCCACTAGACCCCCCAGGGTTTGTGTCTCACGAAGCCACAGCGGGAACTTCGCAGATGTTCAGGCAAGCAAGTGAGAAGAGGCAGGTTTGTTTAGAGAAAGAAAAAGCTTATTAAGGAGAGAAAGGGAAAGAGAAATAAAGTGGGACTCCCAGGCCATGGAACCAGGCCTGGAGGGGCAGGAAGCCAAAGTGGGAGTCGTGTCTCAGGGAAATATATACCTTCTTTCCCTCATTATTCTAAAGCTCCACCAGTCTCTTTGTGATTGGTGTTCTCGGCTGTCTCACTTAATTTGCTACTGAGTGGGGGATCTTCACATTCCTTATCTAAAGGTCTGTCTTTCCCATTTGTTGCATCTTCATCTTTATGGCCCTGTCCTCTGGATGGGCATCCCTGCATTGAAATTAAACAGCTGCCCTTCTGAGTTGTCCATAAATTAAACCACTCTCCATTTCTCCAATCTCCGCCTCCCTTTATCACCTGAAGGAAACCAGGACCAGCTTTAACAATGTTGTCCTTGGTCCTGAGATGTTTGTTTTTCCTAGTGGAATTGGTTACATTCCCTTGGTTGTCCTTATCTCTGAAGCCTCCCTAAATTCTTCAGAGGTCCCTCCTGCACTGTCCCTGAAACTGCCTAATAACCCTAGCTTGCCCTGTGTCTCATTCCCCCCTTCTGCGAATGGAGCCCCTAAACTACAGTTAGGGAAAAGGGCGTCTTTCTGATCAGTAACTACTTCCTGCTGAAAGTGGGCGATGAGGGGAAGCAGTCAGGGCTCCATCGCAGGGCGACGATCTAAGTGACCCCAGAAGATGGACTGCAGAGGCGTCATTTTGGGTTCCATTTGAAGGACCATTTGGAGCTTGATGGCCTCCAGGAGAGCGGAGATGATTCTGATGAGAGCGTTAAGGATGCAGGGCCCAAACAAAAGAACAATAAAGAGAATTAATAAGGGAACGAGAAAAGGGAGTAGCCAGGACAGAAGTTGTCCTTTTATAGAATCAAAGATTGTCTGTGTCCAGCTAAGCCCTTGTCCTGCCTGTCTTTTGAGATCATCCACAATCCGTATATTCTCTTTAGTATTTCTAAATTTTTTTCTACCTCATGAGAAGTATTTATCCAAAAGCGACATGTTTCATTTAAGAGGGAACAAACTTCCCCCACTTCAGTGGTAAGCAGATCCAGGGTTCTGCGATTTTATGTTACCACTGAGACTAGGGATTTTAAGGAGCAATGTTGGGCTAGTGTCCCAAACACCTGGAGGTGTGCTGTAGCCAAAAATGACAGAATTAGTGAGAACTAGGACTTTAGTACCATTTTTATGTTTAGTAGCAGCAGCTAGGAGAGCCAATAGTGGTTGTGGAGGCTGCTAGTTGGAATTTAGTTATAGTTTTTTTATCCTAATAGAGGAAGTTAGGAAAACAAAAAATAAAAATGTGTAAACAAGTAGCCTTGTAGTGAGCAAGGTAGCAGTGCTGTACAGTATCCTGGCTCAGGCTGGCCATATGTACTAGTGAGGGGGACAATTGACCAGTAGGTCAGTCAAAAGAATTTGAGTAAGGCAGAGTAAGTGGCCCCTTAATTACCCAAAAGGTGATTTTTATGTCTGCCACTTTTGGGTCACCCGAGGCTTGTCCATATAAACAGTAAAACAGGGACGTCTCTCCACCTCTGGGCTTCTTCAGAGATCTTCTCCTGCACCGCGGGTTCTTCATAGTCAGAGGCAGCTGACGGTCAAAGCCTGTCCTCCCATCCTGGGCGATGGTTTGGGCCGGCCCCTCCCTCTCTGGAGAGTGAGTGGGACAGTCCCTCTTTTTAGTGCCCTGTGCATGGCAATGGCAATGAAGGGAAGGCCCTGGGGACAGTTCTTGCAGCTGCAGGCGTCCCAGTTGCAGGAGGAAGGTGAAGCTGGCATGCCCAAGAGGCTGGGAGCCGGTTAAGCCAATGCCCTAGGGCATATGGGGCTCTTGGGTGAGTCTGAGGTGGCAGGGCTATAATACAATGGCACCTGCCATTACAGTGGCCCTTCTCTTGCCTTCCTCCCCTTTTTATTTGGCTACGTCCCCTCTATACTAGTAACTGTAGGCCTTGAAGACTGTGTTCAAAAGTGTTAAAAGGATTTAGCCCTTTTAGTCTCTGGAGTTTGCACCTGATGTCAGAGCAAGGCTGACTAATGAAGGAGACTGAGGACTGTTAAATTGTTTGTCCTTTTTAGGGTCTAGATTAGTATACCTTTTTATAGCCTCAGTAAATTTAGCCTGAAATGACTAGTTTATTAGGTTTTAAGAAATCTTATGTATTTTAGAATAATTTTATTTGTGTACATTTATGTTGAAAAGGTGAAACAATTTTATGAGAATACTTTCTATGAGGTATCAGTATACCCAAATTGACTCCTCAGTTTGTTTTCACAGCAAGAAATAATTTTATAGATCAAAATAACTAAAGCCTGGTGTCACACAGGTGCACAACTGACATTTAAGTCAACCAAAATATTTCATGGCAAGTCAGTTGAGAACACAGAATTTTCCGTCAAAATCCCTCACTCAGACCTTTAACACTTTCCTTTGCTCTTTTTTTTTTTAAAAAAACACAAACACATCTTAGTTTACTTGTATTCAGAATTATTACACCTTAGTTTTTTTTTTTTTTTAAGTTTGTTGATTTTTTTTTTTTTAAAGATTTATTATTTATTTATACAGGCACTGGGTACAGTCAGAAGCGCGGGAGGGTGAGAGAACTCACCAGAGTCAGAACGGGGAACAGAACAGGCAGACTGACAGACTGAGCAATACAGCTAAGGGGAGCAGCGGGCACAGCAGGGAGGAGGTCTGCACGCCATGTGGGATATCCTCACCTGAGGCCGGGGATCGAACCAGCGCTTCAGAGGCCGCGGACAGCCTCACATCCCAGCGCTCACCGCTACGCCACCAGGGGAGGCCCTACACCTTAGTTTTTAATTGTGCATTGTAAGACACCATAATAACTGTTACACTATCATTTCTTTAGACTACACAACTTACAGACACATTTTTCAATTTTTTTTTTTTTTGTTGTTGTTGAGATGACATTAAACTTTAGTTTCCTTACAATAAGGAGCAAAATGTAAACCTGAAATTTCAGTAAATGGTTAACAAATTTTATTACTCAACTTAGCAAAAACCTTAGTTTAGCTTTAGTTTTTTCTTAGAACTGGGATTTTAAGTCAACTGCAAGAGTTGCCACTGTAACAATTTTATATACCAAGTTTTCTTAGGCAAGCACTAGATAGATTGACAAAAGCAAGAAAAAAATTAGACACTTAATACCATAAACATTTTTTAGTAACTTGTCCATATGGCTTTAGATGTTACCTTGAATTCTGTAAAGAAATATAGTTAATTACTGGGAGATATATTGTTTATTCCAAGGGGAAAAGACAAGTAGATTAGTCTTTCTGGAACAAGATCTTATCAAGAGATAGAAGCCTAGAAGTAAGTTTTGTTTGTTTGCATAGACCAGGTTAATATTATTCCCTTTGTGTAGCAGGTAAACACATTTAAACAACTGTAAATACCCAACATTAAAACCTTAAGGCATGTATGCTTTTTTTTTTTTTGTCATGTTTTATTTATTTATTTTTTTTTTATAAATTTTATTGTTATATTCCCCATACAATTGCAGCCCCCCATTCTGACCCCCAATCCCTCCCCTCCCGCCCCCCGCCCCCCTAAAAGTGTCTCTGGTTCATAGTTTTTGTTGATTTTGATTTTCACTTTCTTATAGTTATTCATTTTCCTGGTCCCTTATTTAAGTTTTCTAGATTCCTGCTATGAGTGAGACCATCCGGTATTTTTCTTTTTCTTTTGGCTTATTTCGCTGAGCATGATCCCTTCCAGCGCCATCCATGTTGCTGCAAATTGCATGTGTTTATCTTTTTTGAATGCTGAGTAATATTCCATGGTATATATGTACCACATCTTCTTGATCCAGTCATCTATTTTTGGGCATTTGGGTTGTTTCCAAAGCTTAGCTATTGTAAACAGTGCTGCTATAAACATAGGGGTGCAGGTGTTCTTTGGAATTGATGTTTCTGTGTCCTTGGGTAAATACCTAGGAGTGGAATTGCTGGATCATATGGAAGCTCTATGTTTAGTAGGTCCAGAAATCTCCACACAGCTTCCACAGTGGTTGGACCAGTTTGCACTCCCACCAACAGTGCAGAGGTTCCTTTTTCTCCACACCCTCGCCAACATTTGTTGTTGCTAGTTTTTTTAATATGTGCCATTCTCACTGGTGTAAGATGGTATCTCATGGTAGTTTTGATTTGCATTTCCCTGATGACAAGTGATGTTGAACATTTTTTCATATGCCTGTTGGCCATTTGCATTTCCTCTTCAGAGAAGTTTCTTTTCAGCTCTTCTGCCCATTTTTGACTGGATTATTTTCTTTGTTGTTGTTGAGTCTCATCAGCTCTTTGCAGATTTTGTGATCAGTCCTTTATCATTAGTGTTGGGTGCAAAAATGTTCCCCAGTGGTGGGGTTTCTCTTGTTTTTGTTATTGTCTCTT